TGACCCAGGCGGTTCTCCAGCAGGCGTGGGCAGGCCAGGCAGGCTCCCTCCGCGCAGTGTGACGCTCCAGGGCGGGAGGGGAAGGGACGTCGGGTCCCGACGACACCTGAAGCAGACGGGGGCTCTGTGTCTTGGGGGTGTTGGTGGAGCTGCCCACCTTTGGCTCATCAGCCTTGTAGGCTGCACTGGGGAGGCCCTTCCCTCGTCCCGCGGTGCTCCCGGTTGCGTTTGCTGTGCCCCTGGCCCCGGGATAGTCCCGCTGGGCTGGACACAGCCGAGGTGTCTGCCAGTAGACGGTCACAGAGGCTGTTCCTCCCGAGCAGCCCTCCTTGGTTCACCTTCTCCAGCTGCACTGAGGTCTCCTGTGTGAAGGGGGTGTGGGATTCCTGGTAGAGACTGAGCGGTTACCCTCAGAGCTGGCCGTGGCAAGGCTGGGAGCCCTTTGGAAGGGGAGCGGGAGAGTGCTCTGGTTAGTTTTCCGTATTTTCCACTTCCCGTTTAGAACAACTGAAGCTCGTACCCTGCGGCCTCCTGCCCACAGGGATGTCTGGTGGAGCATCTGCCTCAACGCCAGCTGGGTGCCGAGACCTGAACTCGGATGGAGCGGGGGGGCCCTGTTTCCCAACGCTCCCTCCATCGCAGAAGTTGATTCTTTTCTCCTGGACATGTAGAGTGAAACCCAATGACTTGTCAAGAGCGGGCCCTGAGCCCCTTCTGCTATGCAACTGCTGCTCCAGAGACACGGGACGCGCCCTCTCCAACCCCCGGTGAAGTTTGGCAGGGAAGGCTTTTCCTCCCCCTCCGTGTCCCCTGCACGCGGCGTGTGAGACCTCCCAGGGCCCCACATGCACTAACTGTTGGATCCCACCACCTCCTCACAGCCCCTCCAAAGACCCTGGCCCACGTGCCTTCTGCACTTTCCCGGGAGGATGCAGACCCCCCCACTCCTGTCCTGGTGACACTTGGCTCGACCTCCAGCACGCTTTTTGGCACGGGGCAGCCCCCGCTCGCCGGTCCCTGCGACTGTATTTTTTAACTGGGTTCTTTCCCTCCTTGCACATCTGGTTACTGTGGGACCACAGCTGGGGGAGGGTGTGGGGCAGCCCCCTGTCACTCAGCAGCCCCCAGGCTCGTCCCTGTGCCTCTCTCCTCCTGTGGAAAGCCTGGGTCCCAAAAGTGCTTTATGTTTTTATAGTTCCTTTGTATTGATATGTAAAATAGCAAATTCTGGTCCTTGCCCTGTGGAGTGTGGCTGGAGTCTTATGTACATAATAAAGTACTTTTGCCATAACGGTGGCGGCTTTGGTGTAGTTTGGTGGCTGGGAGGGGCCCCGGTGCGGCAATCCCACTCAGCCCTGCTTCCCACACCCCCCCGGTAAACACCGAGCTGCACAAACAAACAACAGGGAACGAGCAGGCCAGTGCGTCGTGTGTTTAATAGAGCAATGCCCACCTCCCCGCCCTGCTGCGGAGCACTGGGGTGCTCCACGGGAACGTCCTCCGGCCCTGGGGACAGCCTCTTTGATGGGTGCTGTCTTCCCGAGGCTGCAGCTACCTCCTCGTCAGCATCACGGATTACTCCAAAGAAGGCAGGTCCGATGGCTGGAGGAGGATGTCCCCACCCCCTTGCTGTGACTTCAGGTGCATCACCATTTAGCTCAAAACTTGCATTTTGCTCTTCCGTGCCAACAGACCTTCCCTGGTTCTGATTCCATTACGGAGCGGCGTTACGGTTCAGTCCTGACAGCAGTTGAGATGCGGAAGGATCCAGTTTTCTCCACAAAAATAAATCCGTTATTCCAGCACAGAAGCATCACTGGCTTTCCCTGCAGACCCGGAGGCGTGCCAGCTTCCATCGGGTCAGGGGGAATGCGGCGAGGGGGACAGGACGAGAAAGCGCTGGGGGCTGAGCGCTGGCCTGGCTGGTGCAGAAGAAGGCACTGTTGGAGGGGACCCTCGCCAAAGCAGGGTCCTGCTGGTGCGTCCTGTCAGTCCCGGGGCAGTTGCCTTGGGGCAGTTGCAGCGAGCGGTCCAAGAACAGCAACAAAACCAGGCGTAACTTCTATGCTAGGGGCCAAAGCTGGGTTTGTGGGACCAAGCAAGCATCCTGGTGAGGGGGGTGGTGTCCCTACTCCTCCTTGGCCCAGGCAGAGCCCCCTGACTTCTCCTCCAGATGGGGAATCACTGCCTCGGTGTAAAACTTCTCCAGCTTGGGCACCGTCTGCCCCCAGAACTTGGCGTCGAAATCCACGGGGACCACCGCTGTCTCCTTGTTGGTGTGCACCACGAAGTCGGCCTGCTGGAAGCCGGCCGCTGCCAGCTGGCACTGGACCTGGGTGAAGTAGGCATGGTCCTTCTTCAGGGCGTAGGAGTCCCCGTCCACCTTCAGGCAGAAGTCCTTGTCCTTGCAGGCCTCGCGCACCGTCCTGTTCCTGTGCTTGTAGGGACACTTCACCTCCAGCAGCCCCAGGGCCTTCCCCGTGTCCGCCTCCGTGATGACGCCGTCTGGGCTGGCGGCGATCCACTTCTTCTCCTGGGGAATGCGATCCCCTTCTTCTCCGGGTGAATGAAGAGGCCGCAGTCCTCCACCCGCACCGGCTTGCCCACCGCCCGCGACTTCAGCTCCTCGTAGGCCTGCACGGCCACCTTCTCGTTGCGGACCCCCCAGGACATGGCCGGCGTCTGCACCCCGGGGCTGGAGCTCACCACCGCTTTCACGTAGGACTTGGGCACCTCGTCCGTCTTGCCGTTGGCAAACTTGCTGTTG